CTAGTAGCTGGGATTACAGGTGCCCACTACCATGCCCAGCTAATTTTTGTAATTTTCATAGAGATGGGGTTTCCCCATGTTGGCCAGGCTGGTCTCTAACTCCTGACCTCAAATGATCCACTTGCCTCTGCCACCCAAAGTGTTGGGATTACAGGCACGAGCCATTGCGCCCCACCAGTTTATGTATTTTTGTACTGCCTGTCTCTTAATAGGTTGCTATAGCTGTTATTTTTGTTAGATTTGTCTTTTAGTCTTCATATTAGTTATCACACAACACAGTTACATTATTGGAGTCTTCTAGGGTTGTCCATGTTCTTAATTTCACCAGTGATTTTTATACCTTCAAATGTTTTTTATTTACACATTAGTGTTTCTCCTTCCTGATTGAAGAACTCCCTTTAGCATTTCTTGTAAGATGGTTCTGGTGCTTGTGAATTCTCTCAGTTTTTGTTTGTGTGGGAAAGGCTTTCTCTCTTCTTTATAGTTGAAAGAGCTTTGCTGATTCTTAGATGGCAGGGTTTTGTTTTTGTTTTTGTTTTTTTGTCCTTTTAGCACTTTGAAAATGTTCTGTTCCTTCCTGGCCTGTGTGGTTTTTCTTGAGGAGTTTGTTGCCAGATAAATTGGAGTTCCTTTATATGTTATTTGTTTCTTTATTGTTGCTGCTTTTGGGATCCTCCCTTTGTCTTTGACCTTTGAGAGTTTGATTATTATAGGCCTTGGGTAGTCTTACTGGTGTTGAATATTTTGGTGTTCTAAGACCTTACTATTTCTGGATATTTATCTCACGTTTTAGGAAGTTTTCTGTTATTATTTCTTTGGATAACCTTTCTACCATTTGCTCTTCCTTATTTCCACTTGAACACCAGTAATTTTTAGATTTGGTTTTTTTTTTTTTTTAGATAATTTTCTATTTCTTGTAGGTGATTTTCATTTCTTTCCATTTTTTTTTCTTGTTTAATTGGGTATTTTCAAATAGCCTATTTTTGAGCTCACTGATTCTTTCCTCTGCTTGACCCATTCTGTTGTTGAGACCCTCTAATGAATTTGTTAGTTCAGCAAATGTTTCTCAATTTTAAGATTTCTGTTTACTCTAAAAAATTATTTAAAATCTTTTTGTTACTTTTTGAAATCAATTTCTGAATTGCTTTTCTTTGTTTTCTTGGAGATCACTAAGTTTCCTTAAAACTGCTATTTTGAATTCTTTAAGAACTCACATATTGACATCTTATCAGAGTCAGTCAGTGGTTTATTGGTTTGTCTTTTTGGATAGGTTGTGTTCTCTGTTTTTATTTCTAATGGATGTACATCTATGTCTTTGCATTGAGGGATTAGTTAGTTTTTCCAGTCTTCTCTGTCTGATTTGCTTTGTTTTTTATGGGATAGGTTCTTTGTAATTTTCCTGTTGATTTTTTTTTTCCAGGTAGGTCTCTGCCTCCTTTTTGGCACTAATTGGCACCTTAGGCTCAGGTTTGCCTTGGCTGTAGTAAACAAACCATTGGAGTGCAGTCCATTCCAAATTGGAGAGGTCTCAAAAGGGATATCTCAGCAATGTGGAAAGGGTTGCTAGCAGTTTGTGCCCGGGGGAACTGTGGAAAGAACCTTAGTATGGTGATGCCACTCTGATTTTGTATCTTGTTTCGCTTAGTTACAGAGCAGAGTTTCCAGGACTGAGGATGGTAGTCCTACCTCTCCCCTTTGTCTCTGGCTGTCCTCAGGGATATATTTGTCTTCAGGCACACCCAGTTCTCCCTGTGGCTGGAGACAGGGAGAGGTCTTCTGCCAGGGAGCCTAAGATGATAGGGGAAAGCTGCTTGTCTACTTTGATTTCACTTTTTCTAGCATAGAAACTGTGAGTTGGGGAAAATTTTTATGAGCTTGGTGCTGGGCAGAATTGGGGGAGACATGTCTGGGATATGGAAGTCCAATTCTTACTGACTGCTCAGTTTTTTCTTGACTGTGGCCCCAGAAACTGTTTCATTCTTATATTTGAGTTCTGGGATATTGCTAGTGATAATCTCAGTATTGTATATTTGTTTTTGTTTTCTGTGAAACTGGAGAGTGAAACTAGCTTGCTTCTATGGGCCATTTTGGAAGTAGAAACCCTCTCAAAAAATTTTTATTAATTTGACATACATTTGTTGAGCACATATTACGTGTCAGTTCTTCTTCGGAGAGCTAGGGATATTACAGCAAATAAAAGACAAAGTCTACCAACATGTGGTGGTGAGGGGAGAGACAGATAATCATCTAAATGAATGAGCAAAATATGTATTACATAAGGATATGTGTTTAGATAAATATAAAGTAGGAAAGGAGAGTAGAGAGTATTAGAAGGGATGAAATTTAAAATAAGTTGTTAAGAAAGCCTTCACTGAGGAAGTGACAATTGGGTAAACACCTGAAGGAGTTGAGGAAGCAGATTTTGTGGATATCCTGGAGGAAGAACATTTCAGGTAGAAGTAACAGCAAGTGTAAAGCTCCCGAGGCAGGGATGTGCATGGTGTGTTTGAGTAATAGCAAGTCAGTGTAGTTCCAACAGAAGTAAGGGGGTGAATATTAGATGATAAGGTTGGAGAAGTAAGAGGAGCCATTAGAGGGTTTGTTTTTTTTTCTTTCTTTTTTTCCTTTCTTTCTCATTATGTTGCCCAGTCTGGATTTAAACTCTGGGGCTTAAGCAAACCCTCTGCCTCAGCCTCCTGAATACCTAGGACTATAGGCATGTGCCACCATGCCCAACTTTATTGGAGGGTTTTGATCACAGGAGTGACCTGACCTGACCTGTGTTTAAAGGGATTATTTTGGGCTGGGTGCTGTGACTGATGCTTATAGTCCCAGCACTTTGGGAGGCCAAGGTGGGTGCATTGCTTGAGGCCAGGAGTTTGATACTAGCCTGGCCAACATGGTGAAACTCCGTCTCTACTAAAAATATAAACTGTTGCTGGGTGTCGTGGCACATGCCTGTAATCCCAGCAACTTGGAGGCTGATGCACTAGAATTGCTTTGAACCTGGGAGGTGGAGGCTTCAGTGAGCTGAGATTGCACCACTGCACTCCAGCCTGTGCAGCAGAGCAAGATCCTGTGTCAAGACAAACAAAAGTAAAGGGATCATTTGACCGTTATGTTTATACCAGGCTGCAATTGAGAGTGTGGCAGTGGCATGGGCAAGAAATAGGGAGAGCAGTTGGAAGCGTGATGCAATAAATCAGGCTACTATTTGGGTTGGCCAGTATAGAGGCCGCAAAGGTAGTGAGAAGTAATCAGGTTCTGTGTATGTTTTGAAGGAGCCAATAAAATTCGTTGATGGTTTAGATATGGGGAGTAATGGAAAGGGGAGTCAAAGATGGCTCTGAGGCTTATGGGCCTGAACCATGTGGAGAGAACTTCCATTAACTGAGATGGGGAGACTATATAAGGAAAATGTGTGTGAGGAGGCTAAGGAGCTCAACTTTTGACATGTTAGAAATGCCTATAAGCCTTATAAGTGTAAATGATGAGTAAGCAGTTAGAGGAATCTGAAGTTTTAGTGGGGCAGTGTTTAGTGTGAGGGGCAGCTGAGGGAGAATAGATTGATATGTGCCAGCAACTTATCTTCTGGACTTCTTATCTGGCATTTCTTGTTTCACCTGAATTACACTGGCCACTTGGGCATTACCCTGATTCTCCATAGTCAAGGTATGTGAATTGGGCTTATTTCCCAAGTGGTCACTTCTTAAAAGGTGTAAAGCCTGTCTTGATCTTTGTAATTATTGCCTCTATGCTTGTAACAACTCCAGATTCATTCCTTTTTTTTGTTTTTCTTTTCCACAAAGTTTTACGTTATGGCTGTCCCTGAGTCTGATCCAATATGCTTTCTTTCAGCGATTCTTTAAAATTTCCTTTCTGTTCATGGCATTCCTGTTTGTTTCTTTAGTTTTTTATAACTTTAAAAAATATCTTTTCTATTATTTTCTGAGATTTAGGCTGTAAATGGTGAAGTCAGTGTGTATACCTAGTCTGCATTTCAATCCATTCTTCTTGTTTATAATAAAAAGAATAAATTATAGAAAAGTGACAGATGCATAGTGATAAAAATATAATATTATTATTTGCATAATGACTATTGGTTTATTTCTTCCACTTTTTCTCCAGAATATTAAATTTTATTTATTTATTTTACTTACATAATGAGCATTTTATTATGTAATTATAAACTGCATAATTGGGATTTCACTTTCTAAGATAACTTTCTGGGGCTGCTTTTGGTGACCCTCATCTGGTCTCTCTAGACTCATAGTAAGTGTAACTGTTCAACTGTTTACTCACTGCTTTGAAGTGACTAGAAGGCTGACTGTGTAAAGAAATGCAGGCTGGGCCGGGTGCGGTGGCTCAAGCCTGTAATTCCAGCACTTTGGGAGGCCGAGGCGGGTGGATCACGAGGTCAACAGATCGAGACCATCCTGGTCAACATGGTGAAACCCCGTATCTACTAAAAATTACAAAACATTAGCTGGGCACAGTGGCGCGTGCCTGTAATCCCAGCTACTCAGGAGGCTGAGGCAGGAGAATTGCCTGAACCCAGGGGGCGGAGGTTGCGGTGAGCTGAGATTGCGCCATTGCACTCCAGCCTGGGTAACAAGAGCGAAACTCCGTCTCAAAAAAAAAAAAAAGAAATGCAGGCTGAGTAAAAGGTCTCTTCTCTGTGCTCCTGTCGTTTGGGAAAGGGATAGTCATCTCCCTATGAGGAAAAGAGCTAATGTGTTATTTCTTTTTTCAAGTTATTTTAGTTTCAATTTAAAAATTAAATTCTACCAGGCATGGTGGCTCCTGCCTATAATCCCAGCTACTTGGGAGGATGAAGTAGGGGGATTCCCTTGAGCCCAGGAGTTGGAGGGTATAGTGAGCTATGATTGTGCTACTGTACTCCAGCCTGGATGACAGAGCAAGATCTTACCTCTAAATAAATAAGTACTTATGTAAACATTTTTAAAAAATGAAATTAAAATTTTTTTTCTTACCTCTAGTTCACTTAGCAGCCATGGAAGGCCACCTTCACTGTTTCAAATTCCTCTTCAGTAGGATGAGCAGTGCGACACAAGTTTTAAAAGCCTTCAATGATAATGGAGAAAATGTACTGGATTTGGCCCAGCGGTTCTTCAAGCAGAACATCATACAGTTTATCCAGGGGGCTGAGTATAAAGTAAACACCTTGGAAGATCAGGAAAGTAAGTAATTAAGTTGATACATTCTAGCATATAATGTGATGATGATGATAATATAATGAGTAGGATCAATGAAATAGGGAGAGAAGATGTAAGACAAATGTTATATATTTTATATGTAAAAATATAAACATGTTTAATATATAGTATATTAAAATTTATTACATATCATTGCTTATACATTCATCCAGATTCTTTATTATGAAATATTTTAGACAAAAATGTGTAGAGGTCGGATACAGTGGCTCATGCCTGTAATCCTAGCACATTGGGAGTCTGAGGTGAGTGGATTGCTTGAGCTCAGAAATTTGAGACCAACCTGGGCAATAGTGTAAAACCCTATCTCTGCAAAAAATACAAAAATTAGCTGGATGTGGAGGCATGCCTATAATTTCAGCTACTTGGGAGACTGAGGTAGGAGGATGGATTGAGTTCAGGAAGTCAAGGCTACAGTGAGCCATGATTGTACCTCTGTACTCCAGCCTAGGTGACAGAATGAGACCCTGTCTCAAAAAAAAAAAAAAAAAGAGAGATTAACATAATGAGCAGTGAATCACTAAATTTAATAATAAAATATAGAGACTGGACAGGGTGGCTCACGCCTGTAATCCTAGCACTCTGGGAGGCTGAGGCGGGCACATCACCTGAGGTTGGGAGTTCGAGACCAGCCTGACCAACATGAAGAAACCCCATTTCTACTAAAAATACAAAATTAGCCAGGCATGGTGGCACACGCCTGTTATCCCAGCTACTCAGGAGGCTGGGCAGGAGAATCACTTGAACTTGGGAGGCAATAGTTTCAGTGAGCTGAGATCATGCCATTGCACTCCAGCCTGGGCAACAAGAGCAAAACTCTCAAAAAAAAAAAGAGAATAAAATATAGAGTTGAAGCCTTTTGGATCTGTCTCCCTAATGCCATTACCTTTTCTTTCTCCCCAAAAGTAAACTATTACTCTAGATTTTTCATTCCATTCTGTGGTTTTATAATTTAGTTATATATATTCATACAAATATGTATATTGTTTTGTGCATTTGTCAGGAGGCTAAACTGCTGTAATAAAGAAATCCCAAAGTTCAGTGGCTTAAATGATATAGAAGTTTATTTCTTTTATATGTCAGGCTTAGTTAGAGGGTAAATCTGTTTCATGTAGTCATTCAGGCACCTATTACTATCTTCCAGGTTCTTTATAGTTGTTGCTAATCCAGCAGAGGGTTGGGAGGGAAAAAGGGTATAAGCCTAAAAACAGAGATTTCCAAGATGAAAGTTACACTTACCAGGGTTGCTGACATTCAGTTGGCAAGAGTTTACTCATGGCCATAAATAGGCTGCAAGGAAGGATTCATAGTTCATTACCTAGCTGGGAAGCCTTCTCCCAGCTGCAGCTCTATGACTGTTGAAGGAAGGGGGTTTTGGTGGACAATTAGCGGTCTTTGACAGTCCTTTTGAAACTTTATAAAAATGGCATAAAAATACTATCCTTTTTTTTTTTTATTTTATTAACACAGATCAGAGGAAACAATATCCTTCGTTAACTTGCTTTTTTCACAAAATAATATGTTCTTGAAATTATTAAGTTAATTAATAATGGTATCCCAGTTTATTATTTTATATATTTATTAGATTCCATTCTATGAAAATCATTATCTATTCTCCATTTGACATTCAGGTTCCTTACAATTTTTCGCTATTACAATCAGTATGGTAATGGCTATTCTTGTACATATTTCCTTATGTACATGTACAAGAATTTCTTTAGAACTGAGGCATGGTGGCTCATGCCTATAATCCCAGCATTTTGGGAGGCTAAGGTGGAAGGATTGCTTGAGCCCAGAAATTCAAGACCACCCTAGGCAACATAGGGAGAAGGGAGACTCTGTCTCTACAAAAACTAAAAATAATTAGTGAGGCACGGAGACACACACCTGTGGTCCCAGCTACTTGGGAGACTGAGTTGGGAGGATTGCTTGAGCCCAGGAGTTTGAGGCTGTAGTGAGCTATGATTGTACCACTGCACACCAGCCTAGCCTGTCTCAAAAAAAAAAAAAAAAGGGTTTCTTAGAGAAGTGCTTCCCTACCTTTTTCACACATAGCCTGCATAGAAAATGGTAGTATTGTATGGCACACTGTCAACATTGGATAAGGCTTCTCAAGGTCTTGCTTATCTTCTCTGAAGACTCAGAGTTTAAGAGCTCAGCTTTCTTTCTTTTTAAAAAAAATTTAATTTTCATTTATTATCTTTTTCTTTTTCATAGTAACTTACCAGATAATCAGCTTAATTTCTGAATGCTTTGTAAATAGTTTAAAAACTCTAGGTTTTACCCACCCTCTATAAAAGATATTGCTACATACTTCAGCAAAGTGGTTGTAGGAGTTTACAGTCTCATCAGCAGTGTCGGGTGAGAACTTAGAGAAACACAGTGTTCAGTATTGTTAGACTCTAAAACTTTTACCAGTTGGTTGGATATAAAAAGGTGTAATTTGTGGTTTGATTTGCATGTTCTTCATTACCAATGAGGTTGAACACCTTTTCATAAATTTATTGACTATTCTGGTTTTCTACTTATTGCCTAGGTTTTCTCCCTCTTTAAAAATTGTGTTCTTTATCCTTTCCTAAATAATTTGTCTGAGTTCTCTATAGATTCTTGATACCAATAGTTTATTGATTTCATGTGATACAGATATTTCCTCTCACATGGGGCTTGTTATTTTCCACTTTGGTTATGGTATCCTTAAAAAATCGTATTTATTAAAGTATAATTTACTTATAATAAACTGCATAAATTTTAAGTGTGCAATTTGATGTAGTGTTAATCTTGTGGTTTTAATTTTCATTTCTTTGATAGTTAATTATGTTGAACATCTTTTCATATGCTTATTGGCCATTCATATATCTTCTTTTATGAAGTGTCTATTTTGTTGCCCTTTTAAAAATTGGGTCGTTTCTCTACTTATTGAGTTTTGACAGTTCCTTATACGTTCTGGATAAAAACTCTTTGTCAAGTATCTATATGTATTGCTAATATCCTCTCTTATTCAGAGGCTTGTCTTTTTGTTTTGGTTTTTAGAGACAGATTCTTTCTTCTTTTTTTTGAGACAGAGTTTCATTCTTGTCTCCCAGTCTGTAGTGCAATGATGTGATCTTGGCTCACTTACAATCTCTGCTTCCTGGGTTTAAGCGTAGAGACAGATTCTTGCTCTGTCATACAGGCTGGAGTGCAGTGGCACAATCATAGCTCACTGTAACCTAGAACTCCTGAGCTCAAGTGATCCTCCTGCCTAAGCCTCCCAAGTAGCTAGGTCTACAGGCATACCACATGACACCTGGCTAATATTTTAAAGTTGTTTTTGGTAGAGACAGGGTCTCACTATGTTGCCCAGGCTGAACTCGAACTCCTGGACTCAAGCAATCTTCCCGTGTTGGTTTTTCAAAGCATTGGAATTACAAGTGTGAGCCACCAGACCTGCCTGCCTTTTTCTTTTCTTAACAATATCTTACAAAGAGCAAAAGTTTTAAATTTTGATAAAGTACAGTTTACCATTTTTTTATGATTAGCATTTTTAGTTCTATCTATGAATTATTTGCCTATCCCAAGATCAGCAGATATTCTCCTATGGTTTCTTCTGGAAGTTTAATAGTTCTAGTTTCTACATTTAAATCATTGATCTATATCAAGTTGAGTTTTGTATGTGGAATGAAATAAGGTGTTGATTTAAATTTTATGTTTATTTTATTTTACATATAGCCAGTTGTTCCAGCACCATTTTTGGGAAAGATTCCCCTTTACTTATTGAAATGTCTTGGCACCTTTGTCAAAAACCAGTTGCTTTAGATATATGGATCTACGGCTGGGTGTGGTGGATCAGGCCTGTAATCTCGGCACTTTGAGAGACCGAGGTGGGGGGGAATCACAAGATCAGGAGTTTGAGACCAGCCTAACCAATATGATGAAACCCAGACTCTACTAAAAATACAAAAATTAGCCAGGTATGGTGACCTGTGCCTGTAATCCCAGCTATTCAGGAGGCTGAGGCAGGAGTATTGCTTGAACCCTGAAGGTGGAGGTTGCAGTGAGCTGAAATCGTGCTGCACACCAGCTTGGGTGACAGAGCGAGACTCCATTTCAAAAGAAAAAAAAATATATGTGTGTGTGTGTGTGTGTGTGTGTTTATATTACATATATATGTACACACACACACACATATATATATATATAATTCTATTCTTGCGGGTCTTCGTTGTATTCTGTCTTACTGATCTGTATGTCTGTTTGCCATTATTACACTGCCTTGATTACTGTAACTTTATAATAAGTCTCAAAATCAAGTAGTATAAGTCCTTTCAACTTTATTCTTTTAAAAATATTCTTTGGCTATTCTAGGCTGTTTCTTTCCATATGTAAAAATGAGAATAGCTACATTTTAGATTTGTTAAGAGGGTTAAATTATGCAGTCCTTTGGTGTCCAAGTATCCAAGAAGATCTTACTAAAAAAAAAAAAAAAGGCAAAATGATGCATTCCTTACAAGTGCTTACTACTGTGTCTGACATTTTTGGTAAAGACTCAATTTATGTAGTTATTAGCATTAAAGACATTTTATTAAGCATCAACTATATGCTAGGGATTGGATTAGGTACCGTCAGTGTTGTGTGTGGGTGTATGTGTGTTTGTGTGTGCATGTATGTGTATATATGTACAGCTGGTCCTCCATATCTGCAAGTTCCACATCTGCAGATTCAACAGATGGAAAATATTTGAAGGAGAAACCAATAAAAATAACAATACAGCAATTAAATTAATGCACATAAATAACCATACAAGCTGGATGCAGTGGTCCATGCCTATAATCCAAGTGCTTTGCTAGGAGGCTGGGGCAGGAGGATTGCTTGAGGCCAGGAGTTTGAGACGAGCCTGGGAAACATAGTGAGGCCCCCCACAACTCATATATATACACACATTAGTTAGGCATCATGGTGCATCCCTGTAATCCCAGCTACCCAGGAGTTCAAGGTTACAGTGAGCTGTGATCACACCTGGGTGACAGAGTGAGACCCTGTCTCTGAAACAAAACAAACAAAAGCAAAACAGTATGACAACTATTTACATAGCATTTCAATTGCCTTACGTATTATGAGTAACCTAGAGATTATTTAAAGTATATGGAAGGGAGGATGTGCATAGGTTATATGCAAGTATTATACCATTTTATAGAAGGGACTCGGACATCCATAGATTTTGGTATCTTTGGGGGTCCTGGAACCCTGAGGATTCCAAGGGATGACTCTATTGTGTGTGTACATATACACTTCTTATCTGCTTCTAGTCTGTTTTGTTGTCTTTGCTGTCTTGCAAGCAGGGAAGGAGTGGTCTGTGCAACTACAGGCCATGAGACTGTGTGTCTATTTAGTTATTTATTTTTGAGATGGAATCTCACTCTTTTGCCCAGGCTGGAGTGCAGTAGCACGATCTTGGCTAACTGCAACCTCCACCTCCCAGGTTCAAGTGATTCTCTTGCCTCAGCCTCCTGACTAGCTGTGATGACATGTGTGAGCCACAACACCTAAATAATTTCTGTATTTTTAGTAGAGATGGGGTTTCACCATGTTGGCCAGACTGGTCTTCAACTCCTGACCTCAAGTGATCCACCCGCCTCAGCCTCCTGAAGTGCTGGGATTACAGGTGTGAGCCACAATGCCTGGCCTCCAAGTGTGTCTTTATACAAAGGATTTTAAATGACCATCCTCTGTGTTTTGCAGTGGTATGAGAGAAAAAGAGAATATGGCTAAAAATAGTTCTGGTATAATACTTCTGGCATGTTTGAAGTCCTGAGGGGAGGAGGAGTAGAATGATTAGTAATAATCTTTTCTTACAATGCTCTTTTTACTGCTTATCATCAACTGAACTTGTTCCATTACAACAGCCTTATATTTGATAAAATATTGGAACCTGAAATATATGACAGCTTAAGACAGGGAAAATAATAAACTCTTGTGTTTACTGAAATGCTGAATTTTTTATTTATAGCTTTAGCATTTCCAGGTCATGTGGCTGCCTTTAAGGGTGATTTGGGAATGCTTAAGAAATTAGTAGAAGATGGAGCAATCAATATTAATGAACGTGCTGATAACGGATCAACTCCTATGCATAAAGGTGAGTTATGATTCCTGCTTTCAGTTCTGATACAATTGCTGCTGTTATTAATCTTTTAAAGTAATTATCAGTCAGAAACACATGAAACATAAAGCTTTTTCTGATGCCCTAGCAGATATTAATCTACCTTGTATGATATACAGAATGCCTAATTTTCAATTCAAATGTAATGTTCATTTTATGATGCCAGATATTTATGTACTATCTTATTCAAGGGTAATTCCAATAAAATTTCTATAGTGGCATTATCATGTTAGTTAAGATGTGAAATGTACTGCTAGAGAAATTTCTTAGAATACCATTTTTAAAATGACCTATTAATTCATACTAAAATAGAAATCATCTCTCTCCCTGTCTCTCTTTTTTATCTTGAGGCAGGGTCTGGTTCTCTCACCCAGGCTGGAGTGCAGGTGGAGACCTCCTGGGCTCAAGTCATCTTCCCACCTCAGTGTCCCGAGTTAGCTGGGATTACTACAGGCATGTGCCACCACACGTGGCTAATTTTTTGTCTTTTTAGTAGAGATGGGGTTTCACTGTTGACCTGTCTGGCCTTGAACTCCTGGCCTCAAGTGATCTGCCCACTTTGGTCTCCTAAAGTTCAGGATTACAAGTGTGAGTCACCATGCCTGGCTTGATGGCAGGTGATTCTTATTAAACTCTTAGAGTTGGGAGGACTCAAGATGGCGCTGTGAGAACAACCCAGGATTGAAGCTCTCGCTAGACGCACGGAGAGGGTGAGTCCGGGAAGCATTTCCAGATGTATCTTAGTTGCCCACAGAACGGGGAAATCCCCAGGTATAAAAGAGATGCCGGACGCCAGGCAGAGGTCTCCGCTGGCGTAGCTGGCAGCCGGAGCGCAGAGGCGCTCCACAGCGCTCCATGCAAAAGCGCACTGTTACAGGTGCCCTGTTGAACAGGCAAACTAAGACCCGAGAGGGCTGAACTTGAGACTGAACGAGTCTTGAACTGTGACCCAGCCCAGGAAATCCTAGGAACTCAGCGTTTGGGGGAGTGCAGTGCGACAAACAAAAGGGCGATTCCAAACGCTCCCGGTGAATAGGGTTTTTTTTTAAAGCGCAGCTCCGCGGGGGAGGGGCATCAGCCATTACCGAGGCAATCAGCCCCTACTGAGGTACACGCCCCTTGCTGATGCAGCCTGCCGCTGCCGAGGCAACCCGGTACAACAAAGAGACTCCGCCCCAGGGCATAGCCCGTGGTAACAGGGCGGAGACCACAGCAGAAGGGCAGAGCCTGCAGGAAAAGGGCGAACCTCACACCAGCAGGGCGGAGCCTCGGCAGGCAAAAAGTGCCTAGACTGCCTCCTAGCTGGGCAGGACAGTGAGGCGGACACTCACAAGGAAAGCCCCAAACCCCCCCCCCCCCGAGACAGAGCATCTGAGGAAAAAAAAGGGGTTTTCTTACGAGTTAGGTTGCAGCAGAACTAAACATAGCAGCCTAGCAGCCCTGAATGAACAACAGAGCTCACAGCTCAGCACTTGAGCTCCTACAGACTGTCTTCTCAAGCAACTCCCTGACCCCTCTATATCCATAAGACTGACATTCGGCAGACATCATCCTGGGACAAACATAGCAGAAAAAGAAACTGGTAGCATCCCTTGCTGTTCTGCAGCCGCTACAGGTGTACCCCAGACAAGCAGGGCCTGGAGTGGACCTCAGCAGTCGTACAGCGAAGGGGCTAGACTGGTAGAAGGAAAACCAAGTAACAGAAATACTTCATCATCAACAATCTGGGTGTCCACTCAGAGATCCAATCAAAAAGTCAGCAACTACACAGACGACAGGTGGATAAATCCACAAAGATGGGAAGAAACCAGCGCAAAAAGGAGGAAAACACCCGAAACCAGAACACCTCGCCACCTAGAAAGGACCAAAACTCCTCACCAGCAAGGGAACAAAGCTGGACGGAGAATGACTGTGACGAAATGACGGAATTGGACTTCAGAAGGTGGATAATGAGAAACTTTTGTGAGCTAAAAGAACATGTTTTAAATCAACGTAAAGAAACTAAGAACCTTGAAAAAAGATTTGAGGAAATGATAACAAGAATGGATACCTTAGAGAGGAATATGAATGAATTAAAGGAGCTGAAAAACACAATACGAGAACTTCGCGAAGCATGCACAAGTTTCAATAGCCGAATTGATCAAGCAGAAGAAAGAATATCTGAAGTCGAGGATCAACTCAATGAAATAAAACGAGAAGCCAAGATCAGAGAAAAAAGCGCAAAAAGGAATGAACAAAGTCTCCAAGAAATGTGGGACTATGTGAAGAGACCTAACCTACGTTTGATAGGCGTACCAGAATGTGATGAAGAGAATGAATCCAAGCTGGAAAATACTCTTCAGGACATTATCCAGGAAAATTTCCCCCACCTAGCAAGACAGGCCAACACTCAAATGCAGGAAATACAGAGAACACCACAGCGATATTCCGCAAGAAGAGCAAGCCCAAGGCACATAATCGTCAGATTCAACAAGGTTGAAATAAAGGAGAAAATACTAAGGGCAGCCAGAGAGAAAGGTCGGGTCACCCACAAAGGGAAGCCCATCAGACTCACAGCAGATCTCTCGGCAGAAACTCTACAAGCCAGAAGAGAATGGGGGCCAATATTCAACATCCTTAAAGAAAAGAACTTTCAACCCAGAATTTCATATCCAGCCAAACTGAGCTTCAGAAGTGAAGGAAAAATAAAATCCTTTGCGAACAAGCAAGCACTCGGAGATTTTGTCACCACCAGCCCTGCTTTACAAGAGCTCCTGAAAGAGGCACTATACATAGAAAGGAACAACCAGTACCAGCCATTCCAAAATCACACTAAATGCTAAAGAGCATCAACATAATGAAGAATCTACAACAACTAACGGGAAAAACAGCCAGCTAGCATCAAAATGGCAGTGTCAAATTCACACATAACCATATTAACCCTAAATGTAAATGGACTAAATGCACCAATCAAAAGACACAGACTGGCAAATTGGATAAAAAGCCAAAACCCAGCAGTGTGCTGTATCCAGGAAACCCATCTCACATGCAAGGATACACAAAGGCTCAAAATAAAGGGATGGAGGAAGATTTACCAAGCAAATGGAGAGCAAAAGAAAGCAGGAGTTGCAATCCTCATCTCTGATAAAATAGACTTTAAAGCAACAAAGATCAAAAGAGACAAAGAAGGCCATTACATAATGGTAAAAGGATTGATACAACAAGAAGAGCTAACGATCCTAAACATATATGGACCCAATACAGGAGCACCCAGATACATAAGGCAAGTTCTTAACGACTTACAAAGAGACATAGACTCCCACACAATAATAGCGGGAGACTTTAACACTCCACTGTCAATATTAGACAGATCAACCAGACAGAAAATTAACAAGGATATCCAGGGCTTGAACTCAGACCTGGAGCAAGCAAACCTGATAGACATTTATAGAACTCTCCACCCCAAATCCACAGAATATACATTCTTCTCAGCACCACATCATACCTACTCTAAAATTGACCACATAATTGGAAGTAAAGCACTGCTCAGCAAATGCAAAACAACTGAAATCATAACAAACAGCCTCTCAGACCATAGTGCAATCAAGTTAGAACTCAGAATTCAGAAACCAACCCAGAACCGCACAGCTTCATGGAAACTGAACAACTGGCTCCTGAATGTTGACTGGATAAACAACGAAATGAAGGCAGAAATAAAGAAGTTCTTCGAAACCAATGAGAACGAAGACACAACATGCCAGAATCTCTGGGACACATTTACAGCAGTCTCTAGAGGAAAGTATATAGCAATAAGTGCCCATATGAGAAGAATGGAGAGATCCAAAATTGACACCCTATCGTCAAAATTGAAAGAGCTAGAGGAGCAAGATCAAAAAAACTCAAAACCCAGCAGAAGACAAGAAATAACTAAGATCAGAGCTAAACTGAAGGAGAATGAGACACGAAAAACCCTCCAAAAAATCAATAAATCCAAGAGCTGGTTTTTTGAAAAGATCAACAAAATAGACAGACCGCTAGCCAGACTGATTAAAAAGAAAAGAGAGAACAACCAAATAGATTCAATAAAAAATGATAAAGGGGAAATCAACACAGATTCCACAGAAATTCAAACCATCATCAGAGAATATTACAAACGACTCTATGCACATAAACTAGTAAACCTGGAAGAAATGGATAAATTCCTGGACTCCTGTGTCCTCCCAAGCCTAAACCAGGAGGAAGCTGAAACTATGAATAGACCAATAACAAGGTCAGAAGTCGAGGCAGCAATTAAGAGCCTACCACACAAAAAAAGCCCAGGTCCAGACGGGTTCACAGCCGAATTCTACCAGACACACAAAGAGGAGCTGGTACCATTCCTTCTGAAACTATTCCAAATAATCCAAAAAGAAGGAATCCTACCCAAATCATTCTACGAGACCAATATCATCCTGATACCAAAAGCCGGCAGAGACCCAACAAGAAAAGAAAACTTCAGGCCAATATCCATGATGAACATAGATGCAAAAATCTTCAATAAAATATTGGCAAGCCGATTGCAACAGCAAATCAAAAAACTTATTCATCATGATCAAGTAGGATTCATCCCGGGGATGCAAGGCTGGTTCAACATACGCAAGTCTATAAACGTAATTCACCACATAATCAGAACCAAAAACAAAAACCACATGATTATCTCAATTGATGCAGAGAAGGCATTTGACAAAATTCAACAGCCCTTTATGCTAAAAACCCTCAATAAACTCGGTATCGATGGAACGTATCTCAAAGTAATAAAAGCTATTTATGACAAACCAACAGCCAATATCATACTGAATGGGCAAAAACTGGAAGCATTCCCTTTGAAGTCCGGCACTAGACAAGGATGCCCTCTGTCACCACTCCTATTTAATATAGTACTGGAAGTTCTAGCCAGAGCAATCAGGCAAGAAAAAGAAAAAAGGGTATTCAAATAGGAAAGGTGGAAGCCAAATTGT